TGGGGCATCCACAGCTTCTCTGGGCAACCTGTTCCAGTGCCTCACCACCCTCTCCATGAAAAATTTCTTCCTGATATCTAATCTAAATCTAGACCCATAGCAGAGGTGCTCCAGCCCTCTGAGCATCTTTGTGGCCTCCTCTGGACTCGCTGCAACCGGTCTATATCCTTCTGATGCTGATGGCTAACAGAGTTTCATAAGATAGTTTACTGCATTTTATATTAAAGAGCATTAGGGAAAGAAGGAATAACATAAATAATACATGGCACAAGGATTGGTACTAAAGTCTCTCTCCTTCCAGCTGAGGACTCTGACTGCTGTAATATATAATAAGGCTCTTTCCAATAACTCTCTCTTCAGACGCATGATTCCTGCCTCTTAGCAGCAGTTTCCTTGCTTCGTTGGGAAGATCAGAAGATGCCCTCCCTTTGACTCCTCTTTAGCATAGATGCTAGGCTAGAAAAATGGTAATCTGATGCCCTGCAAATTGAGAAGAATTTAGACTGAACCTAGTTTTTGGAAAAGATTTGCTAACTGTTAGCTTGTCATACAACCCCTCATCTTGCATCTCCAGTAGCTGTAGTGTTTTGTGTTAGACTTAAAACTCTTGCTTTCATGCTCCATGCTGTACTGGACTTTCTGGGGAATTAGCATTTGGGCACATCTGTAGAAATGAGCTGTGCCCTTAGCTTTCTGGACTAGAGTCCAGAAATATCCCTTAATTTCTGATGCCAGCCACTTAATTAAGATACATTTTGAGCACTTTCTTATTCCAGGGTGCTTATAATTAAGACTCTGACCATTCAGGTTGCTTTATAGACTCTCAAAGTGCATATTGATTAGTTGCTATAATTCTTTAAAATATTATGGATGTCAGAACAGGTTATCAGTTCTGCCAACGCTGTCTATTTTGCATGGAAGGTTAAAAAAAATCCTTTGAATATATTTGGGAAACATCAGTTAACATTTCAAGTGGATATGGCTTGCTCTGATTTTGGAAGAAACATTTGTTGACATCTAAGCAAGTCATCCTCCTTACCTTGCTACCCAGAAGAGTGAAACCCTCTGCTCTTCAAGAGATCAGTGAATTAATATATGTACTGCTTGGTGACAGTGTGCAGTGTTAATCTACCACCCCTTTACATTGGCATTAGACCTCCCTCTTTAAGCCAAACAGCCCCAACATGTAAATTCTTTTTTTGGAAAGTCAAGTGACTGGTACCTACTCCAATGTGTTTTGTAGTACTTGCACTTTTCTCCCTCCCCAAAGCTAACGGCAATGAAGAAACCTTGTCATCACCAACACTTGCCCTTCCTCCCCATCTGATTTCTCTGGGATTTTGCCAACAGTGTCATGTGCCAACAGGGTACTGGGGAATTGTCTATATCACAGGCTTCAGATTGCAGAATGTCTTGGTATCATCTTTCTTTAAAACCTGCACTGCAGGGGGGAAGCTGTAGGCCTTAGGGATGATGGCTTGTTAGGGCAGAAGGAAGTTACAACTCTGCAAAGTGAAGTGCTGAGTGCACCAAACAGAAGTTGGTGATGCAATGAAACCATCAAATTGACTGAAAAAAGATCAGTTTATGAGAACTGAAAGTGTCTCTTCCAATACATGCCTTGAAATTCCAGAAAACCAGGCAAGAATCAGTATGTTTTCTTAGCTTTCTGGAGGCTTGATACCAAAGCTTTAAGAAAGGATTACTGATCTTAAATCTTGTCTCTCCAACAGTAAAGGAATCTTTTTTCAGTGAGCAGAGAAAGAAAGAAAACAATGGCAGAGCTATTACCGTCAAAGTCGTGACCTCCATGTGGCAGAGGAGTGCTTTCAGAGTCTGTAAGAGTGCTTTCTTTGTGGCTGGAACCCAGACACTCTGGCTGAAAGGAAAAACTCCATCAGAAATTAGTTAAATCCAGTCAGACTGGAGTATTACTTCAGGACAAAAAGACTGTTCTTGTTGTTTGAACTGCTAAAAATTTAATGAAAACAGTATTTTAACAAGGAGCTTACTGGTAAAGCCAAAATTTCACTGTTGCTGTATCCAGTTATCCATACTTCTTACTACTTAATGTCTATCTGTCACACACCTGTAACCTCGATGACAATACCATCTCATGTTTAACAGGTTTTAGTGTATTTGACTTTGTGGCAGCCAGGGTAGGTAAGGTGGTCATTGTCTTCAAGTTACGGACAGAGAAATGTGGTTTAGTGTGAGATTGTGAGTATGAGTTAGATGGGATCTCATCTAACTTCAGCACTTCAGGAGTTAGTTATCTAAGTTAGTTGTCTGGGCTCTGTTCCCCGTTGAGGGAGACACCCAGGAGGGAATCCATCTCCACCCTAAAATAAATGGGTTAAAGCAACCACAGAGTTGCCTCTCTTTGTTGGCAAGAGTTAGAGTCCCAAATGAGATGTTTCTTGCTAAGCAAGAGGAAGTGTTCCCTCAAGGACATGAGTGGTTCCCTATGGGATGAGGGAAGCAGGATGTGCTCTCCCACCTCCAAGGACAGACCCGTAACCATAAGCCATTCTTCCTCTCTGCTAGTTAGTCAGTAATTGAGGCGTTTCGCTGTTCCACTGCTGGGCTTTTTAACTTTTACAGACTGGGTGGGGAGAGGTGTGCTTGGTAGTACCGGTGTGTTCAGATGGGAGACTGCAAGGAAAATCCAGTTGTACCAGGAAGCGGTGCTGGTGACTCAATAAACAGCACGGCCACGAGTATCCTGGCACGGGGCTTTTGAGCATTGCCTTCCCGGTTGTGCTGTAGGTTAAATTTCAGAGCTGTTAGTCATTACAGAATCATACTTTGCAAAAGTAAGGTATTAAACCCCAGACAAATTATATGATGGATAACTCTGTCCTCCTTGCCCTTATCTGCAGCTTCACCTAAATTACAGTGTCTTATGCACAACCTGATTTCACTTTTTCTGAGCCCAGGTGGAGTTGCTTTCTTCTGTCCCAGAGATGGCAGCAGTCTGGAGCAAGTGAAGTGATTCCTACATATGCAAGAAGTAAAGCCCTTTGGGATTTTAGATGGAGAGCACTATGGAAATACAATATATCATTACTTCATGCAGTCACATAACTTTTAGAGTTGAGATTTTGCAATATCCCCATTAATGTAAAATGGTTCACTGCACTTGAGGCTAGTGTTCATGTGGCAGCCCAGAGCGGCACTCTTCCCACGATAAGCAAAAGCAGAACAATGAGCAAAGAGGAGCAGCAGTGCTTGTATTTGGCTTGCGGTTCTGGTTTGACTTCATCTGGGTGCTGGCCTGCAGCAGGGAGATGACCAAGTATCTGTGAGCAGTTCGGATGCTCTGTCCTTCCCACCCTCACCCAGCTGGTGGTGAAGGTAGTTTCACTGTGGGCGGGTACAGACAGTTCACCAGGGATGTCTGTGGCCCTAAAACCAACGCAGCTGATGCCAGCTTGAATGTGACTTTCGGTTCACGTTGCAGCTTTAGGTCTGTAATTCTACATCTGTTGCATTATGAATCCCTTCAAATTACTCTGTGGTGTATTTTAGGAGTCTCAAAACAACAATGGGTAGATCCACCCCTTCTGCAGAGACACATCCAAGGGAAGGGAAGAAATCTTTGACGGTATTACACATTTCTGTCAGGGAAAGCCTCAAATGCATGGCTGAGACCTTCCCACCACACAGGTCCAGAGCTCTTCAGGGACGAAAACCAACCCCTCATCAATTCTGTGAAGTTGTTGGAAGCAGTTCTCTGTGGCAAGAGCAAGCTGCCTGGAATCCTCCTCATTGCTGGCCCAATTTTAACTGCTCCTCTCTGTCATCATCCCCTGGCATCACAGCTTTAATAAAACTGATACTGTTTTGGCAGATGAAACCAGAGGGAGTTAGTGTAACTCTTGGCACAGAAAGCAGGACAGAATCTGGAGCCTTTTTTACAGCTCTGGCCTTCTCTCCCAAACTCAGAATCTCACAGATTGTTCCTGAGGTGTTTCCAGCTTCCAAGAGCTATCAGCAGTGTCTGTGGGACAGACTGGATATTTGTCCTTTGAAAGAAACCCTTAGAAAAAGAACAGCAAAATGATGGTTAAATAGGTGTGTCTTAGATTGCCTTTGCTCTCTTAGCCTGAATGGTCAGGTATCTCTTAGAGAGCTGCAAAACTGTTCTTTGAGCTGACTGTTCAGAAACTAGGAGGGTTTGGGGCCTAGGCTGTACCAGAGGCTGGGCACAGCTCATGACATCGTAGAGACTGTCCATAGCCGTTCCAGGGACACGGCCATGACTGAGGGCTCTGGCTCCAAAGTGGAGACAGCTTGTTTTAGTAAGATGGATGGAATTACCTGCTCTGGGAACGTGATGATTCAGAAGCGGCTTCACATGCAGCTCAGCCTTGTGCTTGGCAAAGGGAGGCTGGCGTTGGGAGGTTTAAGCTGATCAACTTCTCTGATGTATGCTTTTTTGCAAGTCAGAAGCGTTGGGCTGGCTTCTAGAGCCAGCTAAGCAATACGCAGTCCCAGTTCTGCAGTCCGGGATAGTAGTGTGCAAAGGAGGCTCTCAGTGCTTTCCCGCCTGTCTTGGGTGTCTCCTGCTGCACCACGGAAGTCTTTCCCAGCTTGAGCTGCAACGTTTTTGTTACGATTTGCTTTTAACATGTGAGCATTTAATTCAATTTCTAAATCTCTACATTTACCAAACCTTTTGAATACAGCATAGAGCTTCCTGATTCCAAGTGAAAGCATTCAGATGGGCTAGGAAGTGAATGTTTATTCTGCCTGATCTGTCATTTTGTTTTCATGCTAATACTACCCCTGTTGCTATGCTGTAATCAGCTGTTATGGAAACAATACATTGTCCCTAGGGTAAGTTTATAAAAACATTCACCCACAGTGCACCCACAGATAAATCCAGTTTTAGCAATGTGGTGTTTAAAGCATTATACTCTGCTTATAGAGCACCAGCAAGATGCGCTTGCTTGGAGCCAGCTCCATATTACCAGTTTCTCTGTGTTGTTTCTCAGGCCCTATATGTCCATTGGAACACTACGTGATCAAGTCATCTATCCAGACTCAGTGGATGACATGCATGAGAAGGGCTACCAAGATCAAGACCTGGAGTGTATCCTGCATATGGTTCATCTGTACCACATTGTTCAAAGAGAAGGAGGTAAATTGCATATTTTTGTAAAAGTCTTTACAAAACCTGTCCCTCACCTGTGTTTTAGTGTGACTGACCTTTACTTACTGAACTGGCAAAACCGGATCCAGACCTTTTGTGGTTGTGGGAGGTGCACAACCACATGGTTGTTGCCCCTGATATTAGTGATATTAATCCCCATTAAATCCGTGCCCAAGCTGAACATCCTTGTTCTCTTGCAATGGCCAGTCTTTTCACGGAATTGTGAGATCACTGACCTTCCTTCATTTTCTTAGAAAATGTAACCTGTCTTAAAACCTTATAATGTCACTGACTGCGTCAACTCAAAAGCATGTGAATGAAGAGAGTCAGGTCTGCTTTCACCTCCCTGATTTGTGGGGAGCCTCTCCTACCACACCACTAGGGTGAACACGTTAAAAATAACCAAACAACATTGGCTGGCAGTAGGGTGTTACCATCTCCCACTTGCTGTTTAAGTTGCCTTATGTTCTCAGCATTGTTTATCCTAAAAGTAGGGGACAGTGTAAATATGCTGGCACAGTAAATGTCCAGATGCTAAAGGCTTCTTTTGTGTCTAAGGAAATGGAGCATTTAATGGCTTTTTTTCCTCAAGCATACCAATAATTTTCATTGTTTTGTTCCCACCAGCCACTAATCTCTAGTTTGAATTTCCTCTCCATCATTATGCTTTTAAAACAGACATAGGACAAAGTTGTTGACATTTAGAGAGAAAGAGGAGGATCTTCAAGCTCCCCTAAGGTGCTGACATCAGCAGTGCTGGGTCAGCAGTACCAGTCAAATCCGAGTAGGGCAGTGAGAGATAAAACCAGACCTTAAAACCACTCCTTTCTCTGCTGCAGATTTTCTTTGTTTTCTCCCTCTTAATTATGCTAATCACAGGGGCACTGACTGGCTCAGCCGTGATCAGAGGTGGGTCTGACTTGGAGCCAGGAAAGTTTCTAGAAGCTTCTCACAGGACCCACCCATTGCCCCTCCCCAACTACCAAACACGAAACAGAGCTAAGCTCAGTGACCGGAGTAATTGCAGAGAAGGCCTCTACTCCCTACACAGGTTTATAACTAAATCTGTTAGCATTCCTGAGTCATTTTCTTCACTAAGTGAAGTGCCCAAGTTGCAGGAGAACAAGCAGATGTGCTGGAATGGGGAGCTGGAAAAGGAGGAACAGTTAAATTGTCGGTGGCAAGAAGCCGCTGTGGAGTGCACATTCATAGCGTGCTGGTACTTGTAGATGCACTGAACAACACATGGCCCTCAGTGGCCAAAACCATATCCCCAGCAGTCTCCGAAGGCACATTGTTGTGGTTTATGACCCTGCAGTTGGAGTGTGTAACTGATGATGGAGCAGATGCTGTGCTCCACGTACGAGGTGCCATTGGCTAGGGTCAGTGCTCTGTATTGCCAAACTGAAACCTCAGGTTTGGATCAGCCACGCTCTACTTTCTGTGCCTAAGGACAGTAGTCCTCTTTTATTGCTGACCCCATTCTTGCTCTTCTGCCTGTCAGACTGTGCATGTGAGACACAATCTATGTAAAAGTGTAGAGGACGCTGTTACTGTTCACTGGTGCTCTACTGAAACTCTGCTTGGGATAAGGGCACGCTGTGCAAAAGTCTGCACCAACAAATGCTAAAAAAAAATGTGTCGCAGGTACTTTGCAATCTAAAGTGACAGAAGTGGGCAAAGCCGGAAAACAAGGAGAGATTACCACATACCAGGAAGTTTTTAGGACCATAATACACTTACTTGTTCCCTTTTCTCCTTGGACATTTACAGGAGACAAGTGCCAAGGTAGGAGCAGAGAGGAAATCCGTGACATATGATTTGACACGTTACATGGATTTCATATACTTAAATATTCTTTACAGCTCCCTCAGTCTGGGACAAAGACTCATATTCTGATTTTTGAACCAGCAAGCCAGAGAAATACTTCTTGAAAATGAACAATAAACATTTTTCTTACACATAGCTGACTTTTATTTTAATGCCAATTTTTATTTTATTCTTTTACTAAAATCAGACGTTTAAACTAAAATGATTTCTATTAAAAAATGGAACTTTTCTTTGCAAAGTTACAAAAATTCCCTTATAAATCTTGTGCAACAAGGGATTTGCCCCCAACTCTCTTTTTCCTTTTTGCAAACTGCTTTGCTGGTTGACAGACACTGGATTTTCCAATAGAAAAAAGTTTTGCTGAAAAATTCCCATCAAGTTTCTCTTTATATATTATATGCATTTTTTGAAAATGTACTACATATGAGGAAAAAAAAAATCAGTTAAACCATTTTTAGTTATTCAAATTCTTGTGGAGAGATGGGATATGTCCGTGTTGTTTTGAACTGTTTCCATGAACTCTTCTAAGAATGGATCTATCTCAGTCATTGTTACAGAAATCTAATATAGTTCTTCAATATTTTTACTGTAGATCCCCTTCTCCTTCTGGGCCTTGCCCCTCTCTCTTCCCCTTTCACCTATCCCCTGCAGTATTAAGCCTCTACCAGACAGCAGGCTCCTTAGGGCATGACCCTGTTGTGCTGTAATTGACCATGAATGTCACGTGTGTATAATATGGTGCTTTGCAGTTTTGTGTTCTGCTCCCTGTGGGAAGTTATGAAAAAGCCAGATGGAGCCAGAAAGTGCGCAACTCTGTCTCAGTTTATTTGTCCTGGTGTGACTTTCTGTCTTTAGCTGAATTACTTCCACATTGCATCAGTACAAGGGTCAGCAGATTCCAAGTGTAAAGTAGCCAAGAGCCTGATGTTGTTCTTGTTGCTGCCAATGGCAGAAATTCCTCTCTTTTTCTAGCAATAAGGTTTGACCCAGTTAGAAGTAAATAGAATAAGTAGCCCAGTTTGGCATGTAGTTTCTGAGTTACCCTCATGAAACTTTTTTCAGTCGTTAGCAACAGAATACACCAAAACAAGATCTCCCTCCTCACCACCACCATTCCTGATGTCCTTGAGCCCAAGTCCTAGAAGAACCCAGTATGTTTGCTGTTGACAGTAGCACTCCTTGCTGCTAGGGGCAGAATTTCCTTCCCACTGAATCCCACACCGACCTCTGTCACCTGCTGGATGCCATTGTGTTACTTGGCTTTATATTATCAATAAGGTGCCCCCATCAACACCCAAAAAGTTGCTGGCTCTATGACATGGTTTAACACTCTCTACCAGAATCATTTCACACAAAATGAGGGTGGCAAAGAAGGTTGTGTTCAGCACGGGTGGTGAAAAGGCATGTCCACAGATCGTGGGTAATAGCATGGAGATGTGCAGTGGATGTTTATAAAGTGGTTCCTTTTTGACCTGCTTTGAAGATCTGTATATATACAGCAAGTGCCAGTCGTGATGCAACCTCAGGCTGCCGCTAGCCTGTCACATGAGAGGAGCCGTGAGTACGGGTAGCAGCATGCTGAGTGCGTGACCGGGCCTGTCAGGCTGGGGCTGATGACATTACCGAACAAGTTCAACCTGTTCATGGTTTCTCAGCACCCCAGATTATAATTATTCCTCATTATTTTGCACATTTGTCATATCTTTGGGTCTTGTCCAGGGAACCTTTGTGCTAGGCCACGTTTAAACACACAGACAAGCACATTTCCTCTCTCTGAGATTTTTCCATCTGATCATATTAGTCCTGGATTTGCTTTTGTTACTGGTACCAGCAGGAACTCTGGAGCGCTCTGCCGGCTTTTCCAGTGGCTCTGAAATCCGGAGACACAAATCCCTGCAGTGTCATGCTGAGCTGGGGCTCGCTCAATTGATGGTCTCTTTGTTCCTGAGCTAAGGATTGGCCTTGCATATTCATCCTGCACAGCACCGGCCTCTCTTCTGTTTTGACAACTGCCTGGGGACATTCGCTGTGCAAGAGGCCTCCATGTTCAAAAACTCATCAGGGGTGGACTGTCTGGCTGCAGTTCTTTCATCTGTCTGATGAGGATTTGGAAAAGGAACTTTAAAGTGTATGTTTTTATGGCAGGTGAATGCTCTGTCTTGCATGTAGGTGCAAGTATTCAAGGATGAAGGATACACAGTGCTACAGACCCCAGATGTAACCTTTTTTTCGTTGTCAAATTTAGCTTGCTTTTTCCTTCAGAAAACTGAGGTAAAAGGAGTTACAAAAGAAGCCATGCAAGGAAGTGAAATGCTGCTGTCATGAGGCTGTCACTAGTTTGGGCTGGCAGCTGGCATGTATTTCTACTGCGGTTACTCTGCCCCATCACATTGCACATGCTCTTTGTCTTGTGGTTGTAAAAGGCATTTCTGTGACATCCAGTGTTCATCACATCTACATCCCATGTGCAGTCAAAGGCTACGTGTAACGAGAAGCTGTGCAAGGAATTTGGATTCTGAATGTCAGGATTATGTTTGCACCTACTGAGAGGTTTATGCGGCGTTCATGGACAAGCCATTTCGTTTCTTCTGTGTTCATGGACATGGACTCATTTTTCTTTGTTTGAAAAGTGAGTGTAGCTATGGGTGACATAAGCCACTGACCTGGCTGATACTTGCAGAACACTAATGACCTTCACTGATGTGTTCCATGTTAGCAGGAAGAGAAGAGAAACAAGTAAGCGCATCATTGTTAATGCACAGCAGGGAGTCAGTTTGAGTTACAATGCCCAAGTGTTCAGAGGAAATTGTTCAGACATTAGAAAATAATTTTTTACAGGGATAATATTAAAATGGATCATTCCTTATCTGTTGTTTGAGACATTACAAGTGGCAAATAGGAAGGTTCAGGAGGGAGCTATGCAGGACGAGACAAGATGCTCTTCTAATAATCAGTTAGAAATTAAGTTGCAGTCACCGCAGAGATGACCGTTGTATCCTGGTAAACAGAGGCTAAGTGTTACACCTTTAGAGTAAACGACAGAATGATTTTGCTGACAAAATGATGATGCTTCTTGAACTTCATTCCATTTTTGTCTTTTAATGTCTTTATAAACCAGCTGATCTGGAAGAAACTGTATGAAGGCAGGCACTGCTTCCCCAGGCACGTGTGCACACATGCACACCGACCCACAGCCTAGCTCACATCCAGATCCCTGGAGCTCGTCTATATTCTTGGCTTAAAAATAACACAATATAAGCAGAAGCCTGGGTGTTGTCTTCAGAAGCATAGTTGTTTCTATGGCTTTCATAAAGGACCATTCCCATCCTTTGCCCCTAGAGCCCTTTGCCAAAAAGCAGTGCTCCAGGTGTTTGTTGGGAGCTGAAGGTGTCAGTGGAAGAGCACTCCAGCTCTCTGTGTGGTCCCAGCACCCGGACTACTCAGCAGCAGCAGCCTCTGAGTGTCTGTTCCCTTTATCAGAGTTCATCCAGACGGTGATTCAGTTTAATCGTTACACAGATCCATCTTTGCTAGGCGCCTGCTGATAGAAAGTACTGAATGTGCCCCTGGCTGGGGGGTGCCCACTGGGATCCTTAAACAAGAATGGAATGAAACTAAGGAAAAACAATAGGATTATTAGAGGTGATGTATGCCTCTGGTGTGTGCATGCCTGTTTTTTTAAATCTAATTATATACACATATATTAAAATCATGGCATTGTATTTTACAATTTTACACAGAGAAAGTTCTTGGAATCCAGTCTCTGGCATTATCAGTTCCTGTTTTCAGTCACACAGCCTCTTACCTGGTGCCTCACTGCGGTGTTGTTTAGACCTACCAAGCCCTGGTGTAGCACCAGGCATGGGCAGAGCACTCCCCAGCCTCCTGCACCCTCACAAGCCCCACTTGTCTCACCTTTGTTCAGGTATCAGAAGTGACATAGCCCACCCTCCTTGCTTGACCTTGTTTATAGTCTTTTCTGGCGACTGTTTATTTTCATCTGGGCAGTGGCAGAAAAGGGAGTTTGGTTGTGTTGTTAATTTTGTAGTTAGAGTGCTTCTGGACTGATTTGGAAAAATGCTGTCTTCGGCGCTTGGCCCCACTCCAGCTGCCTGTCTCATGGATAGATGATCTGTTGAGAGAAACGTCTTATCAGATATTCTCTACATCCACACTTTCCCTTTTCAAAACTCAAAAATCCATCCATATGGATTGTTTGATTGAGAACATTATCAGTAGGGTAATTTGGTATTCAAAGTTTTTCATTAGTGGGAATGAATCATGCCAGAGTATGATTTTGATCTGGCATGAATCAATCATGAGTGAATCATGCCAGAGTCTGCCGTAAGATCACAGATAAAATGCATCATGCTCCCGTTGCATGTATCTGAAAGGGATAAAGGAAAAAAAAAAAAATCAGTTAAAGGCCATGCAGGGGATTAAATACGGATACCCAGTGTTATAACAGTTGAGGATCATTTCTAAATACAAGGTAGTGGGAAGTGTGTCTAGAAAATCCTCCTGTCTGCATGCAGTTTTGTATGTTTGCTGTTTGTCTGTGCACACAGAATGCATCCCTGTCTTCCTCTGGAGTTTGCTGACAACTGTTCTTTGCCTACAGTAGTGAGCGGAGTCTGGCACTGCTCTTTATGATTCTTACATTTTATTTCTTTGAATTTGTTTTTAAATTTCCACTCACATCTTTCAAGAAGGAATAGCAAATTGTTCTATAAAACAAACACGACAGAATAAAATGGTTAGTTACACACAGGTGAAAAGATGTTTTTTTCAAAGAAATGGTAAGTAAAGTTTTTTGACAATACCTACATGACCAAGAAGGTTAATTTCCACTTTCAAAATTGGCACGATCTTTGGGACATTTTTCCAATTGAGTACCAGTGGAAAAGCATTCCCAAAGATGCAATCCAGAACACTGAGCTGTCTCCTCTGCAGTGGAAATGGTCTTTATGATTTTGGTTGCAGATTGTAGAGATTTCTTAATAAATTTACATGTTTTGTTTGCATTTTTTTAAAAGGCTGGGATGCCATCATGGATTGGAAAGATGTCTTATCAGGAGGGGAAAAACAAAGAATGGGCATGGCTCGGATGTTTTACCATAAGTAAGCATTTTGATTTGTTCTTTAAGTAGCATCTGAAAATGAGGAAGTGTTTTGCAGGTTTCCTGTAATAGTTTGAGCTGTAGTAGACTGTAATCTCCATGCAATATGCACTACTGCTGTATGGTTGTATAGGACCTCAGATCTTGTCGTTTACGCATACAAGCTCTCCTTTTAGTTTGGGCAGTGCCTCTTCAGCTTTGCTTTTGGTGACATACCATTACATTTTCCAGATGTTCCTTTCTTTAGCATCTCGGGCACTAACATCTTCCCTGCTTCTGTCCTGTAAATATTGCAGAGGTCCAGTGGACTGTTGTAGAGGATACGGGAGTTGGAAACTTTGATTTTGGAGACTGCAGGTACTGCAAAGGCAGCTCAGTCCATACACAGCAGTGGATAGAAACTTCCTGAGTTGGCTGTAGTTATGGCATGACTTAATGGCAGGGCAGAATAATACTAGGTCAGACTAGAACACAGAAGTTGGATCACTGTGTATGCAGATGGACCAGGAAATAAAACCCACTTTTCTTGGAAGCCAGGCCTGCACCTGAATAATGCATGGAACTTTATGTTATTGCTAGCCAGCTTCCAGCTGTGGGTGAGAGACAGCTGTCTGGCAAAAATAGGTTTCTGCTTTCTGTTGTTCTTTTAATTAAACATCATACATGGGAATACCATCCAAAACTTAGAAGAATAATGTTCCTTATCTGCTTTTCAAAGGCCAAAATATGCATTGCTGGACGAATGCACGAGTGCTGTAAGCATTGATGTTGAAGGAAAGATATTTCAAGCTGCAAAAGCCGCTGGGATATCCCTGCTTTCTATAACACATAGACCTTCTCTTTGGTAAGTACGTTCAGGAATTTATCATGGTCCTTGCTTTCTGACAGGCGGCGAATTGGACTTTATTCTTTGTACTAGGATAGTTACTTAATCAGTATCTACTGTACTTTCTAGGATAACTTGTCTACAATAGTAGCAAGGTAAATACATTTTACATTGATTTTTTTTTTCATTCTCTGGCATTCCTTTCTTTTTAAATGTGTTTCGGTTATTAACTATTAATAGCAACATGCAGGTATCTAAGAGGCAATAAATTAGTCCACCACACCACAGCCACAACAGATATCCCCAGATTATTCTGTGAAGGTGACAAGATACATGAGCTGTCCTGGGCAAGTTTCCCAATGCTTGGGAGAAGATGGGAAACATAGCAAGTGGTTAAACTACTCTTTGTTCTTCTGTAGGAATAGTACATCTAGAATTTTAACTTCAGTTATGTCCTCTATCTGCAGCATTGTGAGCTTTCAAAATTTGATTGTCTATTAAAAAAAGAAATACTGGAATTCTGAAAAACATCATTCTAATGAGGGAGTACTAAATATGGAAGAGTCTCTCAAAGCTAATAAATGTAGTTACTGAATACATAAAACCACCAAATACTTTGAAGGTCAAAAGAAGATCGAGAAGGTGCAAGCTGACATTAGCAGAGACTCGTCGTTCTGAACTCCTTGATCTCTACTGTCAGGTTGTTTGCTCTTTTTAAACTGATGACAAAAAGTCCATTACCAGTCTGTTGCCACGAAGGAAACAAATTGTATTGGTGTCTGCTTCTCTGATTCCCCAGCATTCTCCCTTCCTCTGTGGAGACAGTGACAGTGGAAATGTCTTCTGTTGGATCAGGACCTAAATGTTAAGAAAAAAAATGAGTATTCTGATACGGAAAAAAAAAGTCACATAGACATTTGTTTTGAAAATCATTTAAATTGTAGTTAAAAACAAAAGTAGTAGTTAATTTTTTTTTTTTAAGCTTGGCATTATTTTTAAATCACTGCTCAGGAAAACAGGTATCTGAGAGTATCCCACCAAAGAGGAAGAGGAATTTCTGCAAAAGAACTTGTGAGAAAGACCACCTGAGTTCAGTTTCCTACTGACATTTCCTGCTTTCTAGTGCTAGTGCTACTCAGAAAGATATGGAACTGTTCTTGTAACTTCCACAGTATTACTGAAATTATCATAAATCTAGTGATTTGTGAGGAGTAAACAGAAGTGCTGAGTGTTCAGAAATACGCATCAAATGCCTTTAACTTGGGTATGCTTCTGCAGGGACTGTACTGTGCAGACAGAGAACAAGTTCGCATGCTATTTTCTCCTCCTCAAGATTATACCAAGAAATATTTGCTATTTTAACCAAAATATTGGATACTTTTCTAGACCACAAACATTGGATGTCTCAATCAGCTATCACCTTCCTGATTTTGGAGGGTTTTGGTGGGCAAAAAATAGGGGCATAGATTAAGCATTTGATGTCACAAAGGATAATATGCAGGAAGTGAGGAATATAAGCCTGGAGTTGAATCTTTTGAATCCCATGTCATAAGCTATTGAGTTTATTAAACTGTCACATTCCCTGGATGGGATTTATAATCACTGTTTCATGATGGATCTCATCTTCTATAATTTATAGTGATAAATGACACAGTCATACCAGCAGCTCTGAGGGAACTCTCTGCTCTTCTTCTTGCACCTCCTGATTAATGCCTTGTCAGGTCCTGACAGACTCCACATGTACACCTTTGAATATTTTCAGTGCACACACCCTGACACTCACTGAAAGATCTGGGACTCCTACACAGACTTTTTTATTTTGGCCCCTTGCAAACTGAACCATGTTTTAATAAGACTGGAGGTTTCTTCAGCCAACCTTATAGGATGGAGGGGAACAAATTGAGGTGCAGTGTGAACAAAGTGGAGTTTTATCAGTAGCATTAGGTGCACTGTGCCTGCCTGAATGTATTTTCTACTGAGTTAAAAAGTATCTCAAAACCCAAGGTAAATAAACTGGAGGAGAAGGGAGCTTTGTCTGCTGCTCCTCTTCAGGCTCCTGGAGAAAGGGGAGTTTGACGGAGTTGCAGTGGAGCAACTGCAGCCACAGACAGTGTTTCTACAATGGAGGCGGAGGGAGGGAGGCCACCACCTCGACCAGGGACAGCAGACCACGCTGAGGACCCTCCGCAACCCTGCCGCCTGCTCCTGCCAGCGTCGCTGCTGGTGATGGGCTGCTCGAGGGAATGACCGGCCCGGCCGGGGAGCTCACACTGGTGCTGACAGCTTAACAGCTGGCACCCTGTGGCCAGATTTCACCAGAGGTGCTGATGGCCTAGGCAGGTCCTGGTGGTAGGCCTTGAAATACTCAAATCCCAATACCCCAGTCCCAAGAGTGTACTGGGATTATGAGTCACTGAAAAAAAGTCTTACCCAGTGACCCAAAACTGGACGACCCTCAACTTCTGAGGGGCACCACTGAAAAGAAATACAGGCGTCCATATTTGCGTGCAAAAATGAACCATCTGTTCCCTGTGCCATTATTAATGTTTTCATTTCTACTGCAGGAAGTACCACACTCACTTGCTGCAGTTTGATGGACAAGGTGGCTGGCGTTTCGAGCAGCTGGACACCGCTATCCGTTTGTCACTGAGTGAGGAAAAACAGAGACTGGAATCCCAACTTGCAGGAATCCCTAAAATGCAGCAGAGACTGAATGAACTGTGTAAAATCTTGGGGGAAGACTCAGTGCTTAAAACAATGGACAAAGAGGAATAAATAATTTATGTTTTATGTTTTTAAAAGTATTTTTTTAGTTATAAGCATTACAAATTCAGCCATTATCCTTTGCATGCATTGTGATAGAGGCTTAGAGCATAGAGAAACACAGCCAGCAAAAAACTAATGCTCTGAATGCTCTGTAAGACTTTAGTGTTTTAGTATTAAGGAAGAAAGTGGTTGAACTGTGAAAAGAAAATAAGCAAGCGCACAGAGTATAAGATTAGTCATTGCAGCTTATGTTAATTCCTAGTGAAAGCCCAATTCACTGCAAAAAAACTACCGACACACTTGGGTTTTGTAGGGGAATTTTTGCCCGAGACTTGGCCTGCAGAATGTGCTCTTGTACCAGGTCACTGTGTGCGTATGACATGCCTGCTACGCAGAGCAAACCTGGCATGAAACTCAGGCATGGAGCACGGCAGAGGCAGCATCTGGGTGAGTATGCAAATGCATGCAAAAATCTCATTTGGGTATAAGAAACATTCTTTCAGCCCGTGTAAAACCAAACCCTAGTTCCACTATGGAATTGCATACGCACCTTTACCTGCGTTTCCATTGGAAATAGCGTAATAGACTGACCAGAAGACAACTGTCCAAGCACCCTCGCGACAGAGAAATAGGGATAGAGCTAAAAATGTAAAATGCTCGTGCTGTACTTTATGCCATTCTGCATAGCTTCAGAGGCTCTTTGCCCTTCATGATCCATCAGTTCCTTCGGGGGATTATTTATGTCCCCTGTTAGTAGCCTCTGTGGCGGGGGGTGGAGCACTGGGCCTGGCATCAAGTGACTTAGTTTCCACTTGACTAAGCCATTCATCTGCTCCATGGGTCTGATCCAGCCGGCGTCCATCTCTGACCCAGTTCCTCCCTTGGTAAATCACAATATAGACACTTGCTTGTTCCACGAGACGCGTTGTGATGGGAAGGACTGTCGGAGAGGAAAATGTTGGCTTCTGACAATACACTGAATTCTCAGGCAGGGCTGTCCTGCCTGTTAAAATGCTCAGCACTTACAAAAGTCTGTGAAAAGTTAGAGCGTTCTGTAACCACTAATTAATATGCCTGCCATGTTTTGGTAGAATGTCTGAGCGCTGCCCTCCCCATGAGCAAACGCACCAGTTAACAGCTTTGCTTTCGGATGCGCTCACTGCTTGTCCCTGCTGCACTTCAGGTCGGTAGGAACCCGGTCCCCACTCAGTCAGGAGGTGCTTTAAACAGAAACCCCTAAGACAGTGCTGGCCTCAAGGCCTTGCCAGAGACCAAACACAGTGAACTCTGGTTCAGAAATAAAGATGGGAATGTATTTAAGAGCTCCTGATCGGCTCTCCGTGACTGCATGTACTCTGCAAATGGGCAGCTGGGGAGCAAAGGCCCAGGAGGATCAAGCAGCTTTGCAGACGGGTAAATGAGCCTTAACTGAGATGTAGCAATCCTGAAGTTTGTTGGTTCTGTTTTTCCTAGAAAAAGTGTGATTCCTTAGAAGATTTCTGTCTGCGCTGCTTAGTCTGGGGAGGGGCAATGCATAAGGTGTTAGGAACTGTTAAGAGGGGAGAAATATTTTGGGGATATTTGCTGAACTGGCATGTTTGAGCACCCTAAAGTCAATATAAACTGTTCCCTTTTACTGATCGCTTCAAGAACCAGGGGAAGGTGAATTAACTCCACCTGCCAAATCCCGGTCCAGTGCACTGACCATTAGCCCATCTTCCTTCTCACTGTGCTCGTCTTGCTGCTCTTCCAGAGCTCCTGTGGCACTTGCACCAGAAGATGGAATAAGTCTGCTCGCTGTCCTGCTCCTCCAGAGTCTGTGGCTTGAACGTAACCCTGTACTTGTCCTGGTGACAACAGTTTGTTCCTCTCATTAGTTTTCTCCGTAGAGTTCCCTGGGACATCTCACTGACGCCGAAAGGAATGTTCTTGGGAACTCTTGAAAGGGATGAGAAATTAAGGTTCAAGATAATGAGATGTTGTGTTATAAAGTGCAGACTGGAGGTCACTGCTGTGGTGGATGACATGTGCACGCATTTTAATTTGCAAGTGCCTCTGCTTGTCCCTCTCCCTGAAGGTGAGCTTTCCTCTGTCTCATCTTCAAAGAAAAATTCAGAACTGCTGAGGAAAAAGAGAAGTCAGCCAAGAATCTGTTCTCGGTGAGCATAAATGCGGTGACTGATGATTGTAAGGGCTTGTGCGTTTCTGAGTTACATTTCTCTGCGATGGTGACGGATCACGCATGCCCCTTACGCGTGCCCTCGTCCCAGCTAGTGTCCTGCTAGCACAAAGCAGCCACAAAGCCACCTTCCCACAAGCCTCTCCCAAGGCAGGAGGTGGAGGAAGGAGCATTAATTAAGTGTTCCCTGCCCCCCCGTCAAGCACTTTACCGTGTGGCTGGGAGCCAGACCAGGATTGTCCGGTTCCTGCATGAGGAGGACACTGAAAAGTGCTGAACAATTGGCCCGATTCAGCACAGCTCCAGGCACGGCCCTGCGTGCTCCCAGCCTCCCCCCAAAGCTCTGCCGTGGCGTTGAACTTGCTGGGAGCTGTTACGGGCAGGTGCAGCGCCTGAAATCTGCTGTGCTGCCTCGCGGGGATGGAAGCTGGCCATCCCTCACGGCACAACAGAAACAGCCTCTGCGGAAACCCTGTTTAGAAGAAGGAAGTTTGTTGCTGTTTCTTAAAATGAGATTCTGCATAAGACGTACAAAAAGATACCTAAGTTACTGGTGAAATTGTAATGAAAGTTGAAATCACGCCGGAATCAGTGTGTTAGTATTTTCCTTGGAGTTTGATATGTATTTCTTGGATCCAGTAATAGACTTAACCATTCCCATTCGGTAATAGAGTGTGAAATACCCTAGCACCTCACTCTGCTATTTACGTTCTTGTAGGCGTGACAGGAACGATAGAGGCTGGTACCAGAAGCCCTTCTCTACATACGAACTTTCTGAGTAATACTGAGCCAGTTTTAGAAGGAATTTCTGTATCAGTAGCTCATTCTTTTTAAAGTTATTTTTGGGGCTGGAAGAGCAGCTGCCCTAGAGATTTTCTCTGCAAACTCTCTGAGTTGTTCCAAGGGCTAATTGAGTCGGGTGTCACCGGTTCTGTTTCTGGAGAGTTTTACCTCTGGTGCAACACTGGGCACAAGCCAGCTGGCTTTATGCTGCTTCAGACCCAGCTGGGAAAGCACGAGCAGAGATGCCCGCTCCCCACTCGAATAGCTCAGGGAGATGCTGTTCTGGAGCCGAGGCACTGGGAGCACTTGGTCCTGGCAGTGTGAGAGGGTCGGAGCAGGGCAGGACACCTTGGTGGAATCCTGTTTCATCGCACAGTGAGGGCTGTTCATCAGTGTTCATCCACTGCTGGCCTTCAAGAGCTGTGACTCCGCAGGGTGACGGGGGAGCAACTTTTTGACCTTCCTGCTGCCTGTCATATCCAGCTGGGGCTAGCCAGATCCAGCTCACAGTGTCACGGCTCTAGGCATTCATGGCTGGATGCTGCAAAGCCTGTGAGCACCCTCTCATCCCCCGGGACTCAGGGCAGACTGGACTTGCCTGAGCCTACAACCTGGAGGAGTACAGGTGCTGAGCAAAATTCATACCACTCTCAGGCATGGAGTAACTACAGTAACAACGTGAGGTATCCCCGTCAGTTCGCTCAGATCGCGTTAGGGTTTTTTGCAAGAGTCTTCAGAACGGGAGGAAACTTTTGCTTCTTTGTTTGTTTTTGTGGGATTTCAGTATTTTAACCTGTGAGGAGTTTGTTTTTCACCTACTTTTGGGGCCAGACTCGTTCCTGTTTTAGACTTAGAAGCCCTCCTGCAGGATAGAAATCTCCAAGTGTCCTTGAAAGGATTTTTTTTAAACCGGTGGGATTTGCATTTGAGGAATGTAGGACTGGGTATTCAATGGCATATTTTGGGGAAAGTTGCAATAAAAATTGTATCCTAAAGCAAATGGACACATCTACAGCCCCCTCAATGTCTCTGAATGATGGTAGTGCATGTCAAGGTCAACTTTACGAGCCTGCGATCAGAGATTTCAATCGTATGTAGAATGACATCCCCCTACTGAGCTGTTCATGAGGCTTAAGAGAACTGAACTGCTACTCGAATGTGTCTTTGTCTTGTTTATGTTTGGTATTAATGCCTTTTAAGAGCAGACAATTTATAAAGCAATAAATTATGCTTTACAGCTGTAATTTATTCCAACCTCAAATAAAACATGTGGCATTTACTTTGAGTTTACGGAGTTCGTCGTGAGTCATACGCAAAGCAGTCAGGACCTGCCTGGGAGCCCCTTCCCATCCTTCCTTTCTGTGGGGGAGTAGGAAAGCCGGGGTGGATGTTGCGTGTTTGCAAGTCACGGCAAGCGTTTCATTTCTCGGCCAGGCCGGCGTCAAAGGCTGCTGTGAGGTTTCTCATGTCCCGTGCCCATCCACCTCGGCGTGGACCTGATGGGTGACAGGAGGGTGGCAAAAGCTGTCGCGACTTGTTGGGGAGTTCTGCAGGGGGGCTGGGCACCGAGCTGTGTGCCAGGGGATGGGTCGGCAGCATCACTCTCGCAGGTTGTTATCATGAGCTTTGTAAGATAATGTTCCACATAAAGCATCAAGGGCACAGATCTTAGAAGCGAGTGCCCATGTTAGTCTAGAATAGCAGAGGTTCCTTTTTTTCCTTAGAGATTAAGATCCAAAAATACAGTCTCTGGAACAACAGACTACCAGGATTATGAGGACCCTAGGGGCACTGGTCGACTTCTTAGCAACCAGAGCTGGCTTGTGTCTCGCCACATCCCAGCTGCGTGGCTGGGGATGATGAGGTGCCCTGAGGTGCTACAGGACCTGGGGTATGCAGCTGAGGAGCCCACGGCGACGGTGGTCACCTGAGAGCTAGATCCTCCTGAGTGACTGCAGGCCTGTCCCCTGTGCCTCCCTTCCAGCACCAACAGAGAGCAAAGTCCAGGACACAGACCATGAGAAGGGCGTTTCTGGGTGTCTCCGGGAAGCTGTAGGACCA